CGTAACAAGTAAGCAGCACCGGTTAAAATTCAACACGTCAAATTCTAGAGCCAAAAAGTGTTCTAGAATTGGTTCACTCTGATGTATGGCAAGCACCAGTTACATCCCTAGGCAGAGCAAAATACTTTGTCTCATTTATTGATGACTACTCAAGGAGATGTTGGGTGTACCCTATTAAGAAGAAGTCATATGTGTTTTCCACTTTCAAAAACTTCAAAGCGCGCGGGTGAAACTTGATTCTGGAAATAAGATCAAGTGTTTCAGAACAGATAATGGAGGAGAATACACAAGTGAAGAATTTGATGACTTTTGCAAGAAAGAAGGCATCAAAAGACAGTTCACAGTGGCAAACACTCCTCAACAAAATGGAGTGGCAGAGCGGATGAACAGAACCTTGTTAGAAAGAACAAGAGCAATGTTGATGGATGCAGGCCTAGAAAAATCATTCTGGGCAGAAGTAGTCAATACCGCCTGTTATTTGGTGAATCGAGCTCCATCAACTGCAATAGAGCTGAAGACACCAATAGAGATGTGGACTGGTAAACCAGCTGATTATTCAAACCTCCATGTATTTAGAAGTATTGTGTACGTGATGTACAACGCCCAAGAAATTTTAAAGTTGGATCCAAAATCCAGGAAATGCAAATTCTTGGGGTATGCTGATGGAGTCAAGGGGTATCGCTTGTGGGATCCCACTACCCGTAAAGTGATCATCAGGAAGGATGTTATCTTTATAGAGGATAAACTACAAAGAAAAGAAGACGATGATAGCACTGAAAAGTTAGAGACTACTCAGATACATGTGGAAAAGGAGGTTGAACAAGGAGATTCTTCTGAAGCAGAACCAGCACATGATGAACAAGAACCAGAGAGTTCTGAAGCTCCAACAACTCGTCAATTAGATCGTGTGATAAGACGTCCCAATTGGCACTCAGATTATGTTATAGAAGGTAATATTGCATACTGTCTTTTAACAGATGACGGTGAGCCATCAACATACTAGGAGGCAATAAACAACTCAGATGCTTCACTGTGGATGATGGCGATGCAAGAAGAAATCGAAGCCCTTCATAAAAATAATACATGGGACCTTGTGTCACTACCACAAGGAAGGAAGCAAATTGGTAACAAATGGGTCTTCAAAATTAAGTGAAATGATGACGATCAAGTTGAGAGGTATCGTGCAAGACTGGTGGTCAAAGGATATGCTCAAAAGGAAGGTATTGATTTCAATGAAATATTTTCTCCTGTGGTTCAACTAACAACAGTTCGAGTAGTTTTGGCAATGTGTGCTACATTGAACTTACATCTAGAGCAACTAGATGTTAAAACAACTTTTCTTCATGGAAATCTTGAAGAAGAGATTTATATGCTCCAGCCTGAAGGTTTTGAAGAAGACGAAAAGAAGAACTTGGTTTGCAGGTTAAACAAATCTCTGTACGGTCTAAAGCAGGCGCCGAGGTGTTGGTATAAGAGATTTGATTCCTTCATTATGTGCCTTGGATACAACAGACTTAATGCTGACCCTTGTGCTTATTTCAAGAGGTCTGGTGATAACGATTTTGTTATATTGTTGTTGTATGTGGATGACATGTTGGTTACAGGACCCAACAAAGATCATATTGAAGAATTGAAGGCACAACTGGCTAGGGAATTTGAAATTAAGGACTTGGGATCAGCAAACAAGATTCTAGGGATGCAAATTCACAGAGACAGAAGTGATAGGAAGATTTGACTTTCACAAAAGAATTACTTGAAGAAAATCTTGTCACGATTTAGCATGCAAGATTGTAAGCCAATTTCTACCCCTCTTCTTATTAACTTCAAATTATCCTCCAGTATGAGTCCTAGCAGTGAAGAAGAGAGGATGGAGATGTCTCGAGTACCGTATGCATCAGCAGTGGGAAGCTTAATGTTCGCTATGATATGCACAAGACCAGACATTGCACAAGCAGTGGGAATGGTTAGTCGGTACATGGCGAATCCAGGCAAAGAGCATTGGAATACAATAAAGAGGATCCTGAGATACATCAAAGGGACCTCAAATGTTGCATTATGTTACGGAGGATCAAACTTACTAATCAATGGGTATGTAGATTCTGACTATGCAGGGGATTTGGATAAAAGCAAATCTATTATAGGATATGTATTCAAAGTTGCTGGTGGAGCTGTAAGCTGGGTTTCAAAATTACAGTCAGTTGTGGCTACATCCACAACAGAGGCAGAATATGTAGCAGCTACACAAGCCAGTAAAGAAGCAATTTGGTTGAAGATGCTATTGGAGGAGCTTGGGCACAATCAAGAGTATGTCTCTCTATTTTGTGATAGTCAAAGCGCATTGCATTTAGCAAGGAATCCAGCATTTCATTCAAGGACAAAGCACATACGAGTTCAATACCATTTCATTCGTGAAAAGGTGGAAGAAGGGACGATAGATATGCAGAAAATCCATACCAAAGACAACATAGCAGATTTCATGACGAAGGCGATCAATACTGATAAATTTACTTGGTGTCGATCCTCCTGTGGCCTGTCAGAGACGTAAGCAACATGATGGTACAAGGTAGAAATAATGGTGTGAAGATATGATTGTTCCAATCAAATCTTCAAGTGGGAGATTGTAGAAAGTCAAAAATAATAAATGGGTTGGCACCGAAAATTAGGTGCATAATTTTTTATTATTTTTATATGGTCAAATTACAAACTCTAGTCACTAAAATTTAGGGTATTTACAAGATTAAGTCCTTAAGATTTAGCTATAAATACCCTATCTCATTTAGCTTCAAAACCATCCCAAAGCATTCTAGCTTTCTTCCAATACTAGAGAGAATTTAGAGAGTTTCTTGAGAGTTGTTTTCTCCTTTTTTTATCAAGAGAGAATTATCATTGTTTTCTCCTTGGTAGATCGAGAGAGGTTGTAATTCCTATTTTCTCATAGTGAAATTCTTCTACCGTTGCCCGTGGTTTTTACCCTAAATGTTTTAGGGGTTTTCCACGTAAAATTTGTGTCTCTTTTATCTTCATTTTTATTTTCTCAAATTATCAGTTGCTATTTTGCTCTATCCGATAGCCGTCTTCCGCAACATTATCAGGTATGGACAAATGGTTCACATCTCGATTCTTGGATGTTAAGTTCACAGCGGTCTGAAGAATGAAGAGACAATTGCCAGCATCTTGTATTATCTGCTCACGATGACCTGACTCATGCATTCGGTTGAGGCTTTCCTGCATCGTGTGGAATTTTGTTTTTCTTTATCGCTCTTCGAATAGAATAATATAATTAGTTAATAGATCAGATACTAATGATTAATTAAAAAAAGACATCCTAATTTTTGTTATACATGTGACAATGAATACTCGTATCCTTGTATATATGATACTTGAACTTCAAGAGATAACAATAATATATATAATTTGTGTATTTTTTTAAAATATGATAACATGATAATCAATTATAAAAGTATAAAACTGTTGAAGGTTAATAGTAGTAAGAAAGTTTAGGATTTATAAAGTTATTCTTACACTTCCAAAAATTTTAATGATCTTAAATTTTAGATTTTAAATATTTATCGATGGATTGATTTAAACTAAAGCTTCCATTCCCAAAATTTAGGACATGACGATATATGTTCACTTGAAATTCAATGAATTACAAGTATTAAAAAGCAACACTGACGATTATGATGATAAAGAGTGATGACGATACCAAATTTAATATATATGAAAAATAAATATAATTAGGGTTTAGTCGTTTAAACTACTTTGATATTGTCTTTGCAAAAATGACATGTCAACAATGTGTATCATCTTTATTTAAGAATCTAAGGGGTTGTTTGTTTACCTCTTAATGGAACCATTCAGTGCTGAATGTTGAACCGTTCAACATTCAGTACGTTTGTTTCTCACATCTAAATGATTCAGTGTTGACTGATTCAACAAAACAGTGCTGACATTCAGTACGTTTGTTTCTCACATCTAAATGATTCAGTGTTGACTGATTCAACAAAACAGTGCTGAATGATTCAGTACAGAAGTACATTCTGAATGATTCAGAGCCATTATCAAATAACATGTCACATTCAGAGCTAATTCATACAGAGCCTCTGAATCATTCAACATTTGAATCATTTAGCACTTAATCATTCTGAAGTAAACAAACAGTCTCTAAGTCTTTATTTTTAAACAAAATTGATAAATAACTTATTTTTGTGATATACAAATATTTATTTTTATTTATGATCTAAAATTAAAAAATTATCAAATGTAAATCAATATTAATATTTTTTAAATAAGCATTCATTCAATTATAATTGTAGTATTATTTTTTAAATTAACTAAATATTATATTTATAATTAAAAATCAAACATTTAATTGAAAATAAAATTTATAATTTAAAGTCGTACTACAAAATTTTCGAACTGAATAAATACGAAATTCAAGTTATAAAAATCAAATATATCTTATAGAGTTGGGTTCGAGTCAAATTATCATCTCTAAATAATAGTTGAATTAAAAACATTAAATGATTAAGAGTTGAACTTGAACCTAAATAATAAGATTGACAAATAAAAAGATTTATTTTGTAATAATATATCAAAAATTTTATATATACTCGATTGGACTTATATCTAATTCAATCTGAATTGATCCGAAAATCTAAATGTTGATCGGAATCAAAATTAACCAATTTGATATTGTCTCGACTCGAAAATCAATTATTTCGCTATTGTCTTAACTCGAAAATTGATCAATCTAAAATTGACTTAACTAAACCCGAAACAAATCTATTCGATATTGACCTAATCCGATGGCCGACCTAAACTAACTTTTCATAGACCAGAACCAAGATTGAATACCGGAATCAAACCTAATTCAAATATAGTTTAGATCCAAATAAGATCCGATTGACACTAAAATAATATTATTTTCGACATATGAAGAACTAAGCTAATCCTATAAATAAAAGATGAAGAGTTACTAAAAAAATGTGTTCCTTGTTCAAAAAATTAAGTCTTTCCAAAACAATCCGACCTACTGTCATCCCCTCCTAAGAACTTGTCTTCAAGTTTCCGACTGATCAATCAAAATATCAAGAAATTAAATAAGGTAACTTTTTGAAACCCTAAACTTAATTTGACGATTTCTACTTGTGTCGTGGGATTTCAATTTTTGTCTCGGCTTGTGTTATCTGCTCTCTACCTCTGAATCGTTCTGTCATATTTCATGTCAAGTCTTCGATCCCACTGCTTCTCAATCTGATTCATTGATTTTCTTTTATATGATTCGGTTTAGCTGAAATAACGGATCGTGATCTCCCCTATTTTCTGCTACACTATTATTAGTGCCTTTGATTCTTGGTGTGAAAATTTTCTCACACTGCTATTGAGGTCCTTACTCGCTACTGCGAAATAGTGGCTACCAACACTGTTCGATACCACGAAACCCAAAAATTCAGAAATTTTAGAAGATAGCTGAAAATTTTGGGTTGACATCCTGACTACATATTTGTAGGGTAAAAGGAAAAAGAAAAGATGGGGAAGAGGGGAAGAGCATGCTTGGTGGTTCTAGGAGATCTTGGCCGTAGCCCTCGTATGCAGTATCATGCCCTTTCACTTGCACGCCAGGTATTGAACTAATTTTCTTTTGTAATCTGGATTTAGGGTTTTGTTCTTTGAAATTAATTGTTTTAACATGCTTGATATTTTGGTTGAGCTGAAACATTTACATTAAGCAAAATGGAGTTTAGTTGATGGGAAGGGAACAAATTCGAAAAAATTCATTCTAACTTCTTTATGTGATATCAATGTTCTTCGATGCTCAATCCTTGGTGGATAGGCCCAACCGCCCAAGTCATTACCATAGTTTTTGGAAGTCTTGGAAGGAAGAAATTACTTCTGATAAATATGGGCTTTAAAATTTCTGAGTTATCATACTTTCAGTTATCGGATTTAAAGAATTTTTTTTGTAAGGTTAGCTCTTGTAAAGTTAGCTCACTACTAAAAGTTTAGTTGCAAATAAGTGCTTTGTTTCCTTTTTTTCCCTCTCTTGCCCAAATAGGCACCCTCTCCCAAGTCCCATCATATCCTCTCATATCTGCCACACTGCAGATACTTGCCCGATGTAATGACATACTTTTCCTACATGCTCTACAAATAGTAGAAAAACCGAACATGGTAAAGATAGCATGTTACCTGTTCTAGGAGGTTCAATTTGTCTTAGAAACGAAGAAAAAGAAAATTGTAATTCGGGTTATCATGTAAAATATCTTTTTTTTGTGTGTAATAAATTATGTGTAGAACTCCCATTAAAAGAAAAGTACAATTTAAATAAATGAATAAGCTGCTCATTTCTGATTACAATTTTTTTTTTTTGCAGGCATCCTTGGAAGTGGATATTGTTGCTTATGGAGGTATACCTTTCTACATAATGATGAGTTAAATTGCTTACATTTTCTTCTTTCACTTCTCTGCCGTGGAATATTTATTTTAGTAAAATTTTATTAGGAGATAATCATGTGTACTGAACAGTTTATATCAAGAAAAAACTTAGGGAAATATTCCTATAGGATGGAAGACTGGAAGTTTACTGAACCTAAATTTTGCATTATGCAGTATGCACTAAATGTGAGAGAGTATTCTTTTCAAAATATAAATTTAAAGATACTATCTTAATAATTTATTATTTTAATAAATTTACTAATTGAATATGAATTTCAATGTTTTGATAGGTTCGGAACCCCACCCTGCTGTTATAGAGAATGAATCTATTCATATTCACACTATGGTATCGTCTGGAGGAATAATGTTGGGGCTTAGTTACTATTACAAGGCTATTAATGTCTGTTATTTATTTATTTTCTTATTGATCCACAGATACAATGGCCAAAAAACTCTCATAGCTTGCTAAAGATACTTTATCCACTGATGCTCTTATTGAAGACTATCATTCAATTTATAATGCTTATTTGGTTTCTTTGCTTCAAAGTTCCTCCTCCTGATGCTTTCATAGTGCAGGTGAGCTTTTATTTTCCACTAGAGAGAGTGCAAGTTCTGTTTTCTCAAATTGTTTAGAACAAATAGTCTTAGCTGCTATTAAATGTTGCTATGGCGTTTCCACCAGAATTTGTAGAATCCTTTCAATGGAATATGTCTTTCAAAGATTTTGATGTACTATTTTTCTGTATCAAAGTTTTAAGTAGAGATTAAACATAAATTAGCTCTTCTATTAATTGCTCGAGAGGCTAAGAATAAATGCTTTCTAAAGCTTGAGTGATGAGTGGCAGCTTATTGGTTACAACATTATTGGTGAACATAGATGACATCGTAGTAGCCGGTAATGATGTTGAAGAAATGTCTTCTGAAGGAATTTGACATCAAAGAACTAGGAAAACTGAAATACTTCCTAGGCATTGAGGTAGCACGTTCAAAGCAAGGAATCTTCATCTCCCAACAGAAGATGTCCTTGACATGCTTAAAGAGACAGGAAAAATTGGTTGTAAACAAGTCGAAACTCCAATTGAAATAAATCATGAATTATGTGATGCCCCTGAAGAGCCTACAATAGATAAAGGATCCTATCAAAGGATGGTTGGAAGATTGATTTATCTATCACACACAAGACTAGATAGAGCATTTACGGTGAGTGTAGTCGGCCAGTTCATGCACAATACCAAAGAATCACATTTTAAAGCTGTAAATAGGATATTTTAATACTTGAAAGGCAGCCTTGGAAGGGATTTTGTTTAAACATCAAATGAATCCAGGCTTTCACTAGAAGCATACAGACATAGATTATGCAGCAAATTTGGGAATGAAAAACAACCTTCAATGCAGCAAAGAAGGGATCTGAGCAAGAAAGATCTTTGTCCTGAGAGAGAGAGAAAGAGAGAGAGCGAGAGAGAACTTGAAACGTCAACCTTCCTCCAGTGAGGAATGGACAGTCTTGTCAACAATCTGAGCAACAAAGTATTAAGGAGAACGTTAAGGGAACTCTTCCATTTCCATGGTCCAGTCATTAGGGTTTTTATCCCGAGTGTTATGAACAAGCCAAAGTATAAAACTTCTACTTTCGCCTTTGTTCATTTTGCGAATGAGTCTGGTATGATGAATGCTACTGCGAATAATAATGGATCATGGATTGATGGAAAGAGAGTCTCAGTGGGTGTTGCCAAATATCAGAAAGCTCGAAAGGGAGAAGGCGCTACAGGTAAAGTCCAGGTGGAAGCTAAACAGTTAGCTGGTGGTGAAAAGAGGATATCCAGAGAGGGAGGTGAGTCTCCAAGAAGTGTAAGGGATGACAGATCCTACAAAGAAGTATTGGTTTCGGAAGAGAAGGTGATGAATGGACCTGGAACCTTGGAGAACAGAGGGTGTAATCGGCAAGTTTCAACAAGGATGAAGAATGTTTGGGAGATGCGCATCCCTCTAGAGGACTAGAGTTGGATGGAACGTTCTTTAACTGGGATTATCAAATCGTCCTTTGAGTTGGAGCTGGTGCAGCAGGCATTATCAAGTGGAGGAATAGAAGCGAAGGTCGCCAGGTGGGGCTATGCATGGAACTCGTGCGTACAGACTGTCCATTCCTCACCGGAGGAGTCTTGGTGGAGATCTCTCTCTCTCATGACATCCTTTGTTATTGAGAACAGAAAATAAGAAGATTTCCAGTGTTTTTTCTTCTGTTATGAGTTTTCTCTTCTGTTTTCTGTTAGTTGTTTATACGTTTTATTCATGATGTACCAGTGTTAGTATTGACATCATATAAGGCCAATATCGATAAGTGGTGATGGGACCCTATCATCGTAATTTTGTGTTTGGTATGCATAGCATCCTGTTTGGATTTGGTCTATGCAACTGGGGGTAAAACTCTTCTCTTTCTTATAAAGCCACTGCTTTCCCAATGTTTCGACCATAGACCTAGGAGTTAAAAATCTCAAGTTGCGACTTGAAACTTTGTAATGTTCCTTTGTAGGTCATGTCTTATCATCTTATTATATTTCCCATGTTATCAGTTATCATATTTTTCAGTTAGCTGTTTTTTCTCCTCATTGCAGATTTTAAAAGCTGTACATGCCTGATTTTTCATTAGAAATTTTTTTGCTAGGTCTTGCATATTCTTTATTTTATGGAATTCTTTTTTTCCTTCTCCATAAAAAATATCTTGGATGTTTCCTCCATTTGTGCAGAATCCTCCTTCTGTTCCGACATTAGTAGCTGTAAAATGGGTGAGCTCATTGAGAAAGTCAGCGTTCATTGTTGATTGGCATAATTTTGGATATACCTTACTTGGTTTGTCTGTGGGAAGAAGCAGCCCATTTGTCTCAATATACCATTGGTGAGTAATTTTGAAGAGGACCTTTCTTGAGTTGTTTGATGGATGTATGTGATTTTAATTTTAAGTATCTCCTTAGTTTGGAGAAGCGTTATGGGCAGATGGCAAATGGTTCCCTATGTGTAACAAGGGCAATGCAACATGAATTAGCTCAAAAATGGGGAATTAAGTAAGATTTCCAGCTCATTGTTGGTTACTTATTTTCATTTTTTGATGAAATTTTATGGGAAAATGTATAATTATATTGCATGTTATAATGGTTAAATTTGTAGAGCCACAGTTTTATATGACCAGCCTCCCGAGTTTTTTTGTCCAACTTTACTTCAGGAGAAGCATAAGGTGAGGTTTATGTTTTTAAGTTTTCATAAAGCTTTCTGCTCTAATATCTATTTTGTAATTGTGTTCCATTCTTAGTTGTTTTGTAGATTAAATAGAGATCTTTGTCATCCTCTTGGTGTTCGAGATTGTGTAACTATTAGTAAGTCTAATAAATAATTGAATTTACTTTTGATTGAGCAGCCTTAGAGAACACTGTTGACTGATTTCATCCGTCATGCAGCAACTACAGGAATTGGGTCCGATGACCAAAATGAAACATTATTTACAACTCAGGTTGGCTCTGATATCTTATTGAAGCCAAGCAGGCCTGCTCTTGTTGTTAGCAGTACAAGTTGGTGAGACCATCCTTTGTGAAAGTTCTATTCATGCACTCCGTGCACTCAATTTTTCTACGTTTCTTTTCTTTTTTGTTGTACCCTTAATTACCCTAGCATTATTAAGCTTTAATCATGTTAGAGTGATAATTGGAAGGATATGCTGATAGATGGTAGTCTGTGGAATTAGAAAAATGCTCAAATCGATCAAGTTTGGTTCTTAAAATTGACTTTTTCATGATATTTGATTTTCTAATATGTTGCTGACTTATGATGGTTTTCTGATGGCAACTTCTGATTGAAATTATTTTTTTGGTTGCTTTGGATCCTAGATGGTAGAAGTTTATCTCCCGTTCTATTTTCATATTACTTAATGTCATTTGCAACCATTTCCTTCCTTTCATTGTAGTTATACTCGTAGAAGTTTATCTCCTAATCAATTAAGTAATTCATTTTAGAGAATAACATCTTCCCAGGACGCCGGATGAAGATTTTGGGATTCTATTGGAAGCAGCAGTAATGTATGATAGACGAGTTGCTGCTCTATTGGATGAAAATGATTCCATTGATGAAGGGGTCCTCTGGAAGGAGATCTCTCGTGGAAAGCAATACCTGTACCCAAGGTTGTTGTTCATCATTACAGGTAATGTTTCTGTATGTCCTAGAAGCATGAGCTTTCTGTGCTCCATTTTTTCTTAAAAATTTCCAATCTTCATTTAGGCAAAGGTCCTGAAAAGGGGAAGTATGAAGAGAAAATAAAGAGGCTAAATCTTAAACGTGTTGCATTTCGTACCATGTGGCTGTCAGCTGAGGATTATCCATTGCTTCTTGGTATGATATTTTTCATCTATTTCTCTGGCGTTCCTTGTAGTCCATTAGGAAGAATGGAAAAGTGCTTCATGAATCATGCTACCTGTTTGACATTTCTTGCTTCATTTTACAGGTTCAGCAGATTTAGGTGTTTGTCTGCATACTTCATCCTCAGGATTAGACCTTCCCATGAAGGTATGTCATTATGGAGTTCCTTTTAAAGCCTTATTAGGATAAAGAACATTGCAGTGATAGAACTTTCTGACTTCACTGAAACCTTTTGGCCATCACTAAAACTTGTGTTGGATTGTAGGTGGTGGATATGTTTGGTTGTGGACTTCCAGTATGCGCTGTTTCCTACTCTTGGTAAACTTGTGTCGCACTTATCATTTCATGGTTTATTGGCTTGTAATTTGATTCCTTTTAATGCTAAACTCTCTCTAGTAATCTGCTACGTTTGACTTCTGAAGCATTGAAGAACTTGTTAAAGTTGAGAAAAATGGACTGCTCTTTTCATCGTCATCTGAGCTAGCTGATGAGCTCTTGGTAAGTGTTTTGTACTTCAGAAAGACAATTGGTACTTTCAAGTAAAAACGGATAATTCACTCTCTTGGTACAACCCGCCCTTCAGGAATTATGGTAATTCTTTTTAAGCATCCATTCACCTAAATCTAAATTATTTGTTGGAGCAGCATTGTGGGCAAATTGAGAATAACTCCACTACACTTCACAATGCTCCTCCCGCGTGTCTAAATATGACGAACTTAATCCACGACAACAAATTCCCCAAAAATGAACAGTCATACATGACTGCGTCATGATGACTCTCAAACCGTAGCTCCTTTTGCCCTATGAGCTACACGTGAGGTGGAATGTAGTGGTAATATCCCACATCTGTCGAGTATTAGTCTCCCTCCACTGATTACCCATTTGGTTTAGATTGGAATGCTCGATAACGTTTTCTTAAAAAACGAAGAAGAATAATCCCCTAGTATTGTTCATCTGCCAAATTCCTTAAAAATTCTCTGCTTTTCTTTCCCTCGGCCTATTGGTTCAACAACACTAATAATTAAAGCAGTTTGCCAAGGTGTCTTTGGGATGGATTTACACCAATTGTACCCACAAATTCTTTGATTTGGAATCTGGTCCTAGTGTCTCAATGTGATCTTTGTTAGCTCGCGTTTGGCTGTTAAACCTTATTATAATCTTGATCCGGGATAACTAATTATGTAGTTGATTGTAAACTGTAATTTTATTTCTGACTGTTACAGTTGATGATTTCTAATATTTCTTGGTTTTCAATTCTACTTGTGAACTTTGGCAGATGCTCTTCAGGGGCTTTCCAGATGAATGTGATACTCTGAAATCCCTCGAGAATGGTGCACTGGAAACAGGTTCTTCAGCAAGATGGGCCACTGAGTGGGAAGAACATGCTAAGCCGTTAATATCAGAGGTTAGATCCTTAAGTTATTATTATATTATTATTATTAAAAAAAATTAATCTTTTATATGATGTTTCTCAATAAACCGATGTCAAATAAAACAGTATGATCTTGAACCATAGAAGGATAGTTACCTGATTTATATCTGTAGTGGAAAGTATTACTCATTTCTCTCCCTTTCCTACCATACTGGGTGTATTACCTTTCACCATGTATTTTCTAACAAAAAAGCAAGTTTTCCTTTAATTTTCTCATTTTCATTTCAAGATGTGGACTTGAATTTGCAGGTTATATCCAGAAACTTGAAATAATCAGCTTCAGCTATCTTGTGTCAAAGGGTTTTAAAGCTACCAATCCCTGCCAACTGCCTCATTTGTTAGTTTATAAACAAAGTAATTGCTACACTGGACATGCTTACTCCATTTTCCCAGGCAATCCTTTGATTAGAACACTGTAGATTACAAGTCTTTTTATTTTTTTTATTTTTTGGATTATAGTATTTATAGTTACAAAGTGCGGTTTGGATGTTTAAAGGGATAATGACCCGTGAAATGTGATATATATACATGGTTGCTAGTGATTTGTTACTCATTGATCATAGTGAAAAAGATCACCCCGGGCTCCCAGGGATCTTTCATTTCATGTTTACATTAAGGGGCGTTCGGATTGGGGAATGTGAGATTATCATGGGAATAAAATCTACATTCTCCCGTTTGGATAACCTGAGAATTTCATTCCCGGTAATGTAAGATTATCAATAGTAGATTATTTTGAGTATATTACTGGGAATGTTATTACCTCATTTTCTTTAGGTATTGTTGGATTACCGGCGTTTTGGACTAAAATGTCTTTAATTTTTTTTTCAAAAATATCCTTTTTTTTGTCATTGAATAATAAAAATTCGACGAATGTTAAATTATAAATTTATCCTTAAATTATTTTAGATTTATAAAAAAATTTATAATTAAAATTTTATATGAAATTTATAGGTTAAAATAAAATTTTACACTTTTATTAAATATTTTATATTTATATTTTGTAAAAAAGTTATATAAATTTTATGAATTTAATTTTTTAAGAAAAATATATAAATATTTTCTAACTTGTTAAAAAATAAATATATAATAAAGATAATTTGGTTAAATACATTTTATAATTTTTTATTCCTTTAATTAAATATGATAATTTTACATTCTTGTTAAACCAATTAAACACAAAATACAATATTCTCAGTAATTCTATTCCTTAATAATATTATATTTTCATTGGTAATCTTATATTCCGTGAACCAAACACACCTAAGGATAAATTACATCATTCCTCGTTGAACTTTCTTTTATTTCACTAACTTTACTTTAAATGTTTTCAATTTTCATTCAACTTTATACATTAAATTTTTTTACTTATTCCATCATTAACTTTCTAATGACACTATGACGTGGATTAAATAAATATTTTTTAATTATTAATAAAATTAAAAAATTAAAATTTCCTCCACTTTCATTTAATCTTCTTCCTCCTTTTCTCAATCTCTCTCTTTCTTTCTTCAACTTGAATAAATCTAGATTTCGGTCATCATAATTGTTTGATTATCGTCGGTTATTGTGTTCGAAAATCATTGACTTTCAAAATCTTTCACTAAACATGTCTCACCATTTTGAATGCAAATTAGTGTTGGAAAATATTCCAAAATCAGCCAAACCCGAAATCCTAAATTGTAATTCCTACAAACTCTCACCTTACCTTAGATGGCAGCACCTTCATGCGATGCTTTTACATCCGCTGCTCTTTCTCAGAACGTGGGTTGTTCCCAACCCCAAAAGAATTACCTACCATCCTTATCATAAATCAAAAGCAAATTCTAGATCCCTAGAATCCGATGAAGACCCAAATGGTTTAGGAAATTCAGTTTTGAAAATTGAGATTAAGTTTAGATTGTTAGTCACTTGCCACTTCTCCCCAAAAAAAAAAATCCTGGGGATGGCATCATAGAACTCTTACTTGAAGGATAGGGTGAACTCAAAATTGGGTGAGTTAGAACTATCACTGAATTAGGCTTGTCACAAGAAGTAATCAGATGAAACCATTGCTTTATGATATTAAAAGCCGAAAAGGATTCAAACTACAGTAGAAACTCTTTAAATTAATACTCAGTAAATTAATAAACTCTCTAAAATAATAAATTTGTCCGGTCTCGACTTGAGCCAATGTAAAAAGTTGAAAAACTCGATAAAATAATAAGATAATAATTTTTCGTGAGATCCCTTTATAATTTTCGGTCCCAAGAAAATCATAAATTAATAATTCATAGAAACTGAAAAAATATATTACACTCTATTGAAATATGATTCAATAGTTGTCTGTTTTCCTTTAAAGTTCAAGTCTATTTAGAGCTCATTATTAATTTAACTCATCTCTTGCAACGTAATTCTAAGAGGCATAGACTAATTTGCCTTTTTGTTTGATATGTACATTATAATTACTTAAAAACTCTTTAAATTAATAATTATTAATTTATCGATAAATTAATAACTCTCTAAATTAATAAATTTCTCCGGTCCTGACATTATTAATTTATAGAGTTTTAACTGTAGATACATTAGAATTTTGGGTCTTTGAAAGAGGGGAGGAATAATGATGATTTGAGATTTAGGGTTTGAAGGTTTAAAATTAGAGTTTGAGGGTAGAATTTAAGATTTTTCTTCTTCAAAAAACCGAATAAAACTTAATTTTTCCTAATTTCTTTCCCTATATATAATTACATGTGTTTGTTAAGTCGGATTTGAATCAATTACACCATATAAAAGATTATAACATAATAAATAGATATTGACAAGTTTAGTGAATATATTTAGAATAAAATTGTATATTAAATTTTAATAAAACATATTTTATTGGAATTTAATAAATTTTTTTGAATAATTTAGAGCGATTATAAAATATTATTTGTTAAGAATTTTATTAATTAATTAATAACCCTATGAATGTAACTACTCAAATTTAAGACTTTTAGAAAAAAATACATTTTTTAATTATCGAGAATATTTAATGAAATTTATTAAAATCTAATAACTATTTCAACAAATAGTTTCATAAATAAATTGTTGAAAAAAATTATAATTCAAAGTAGAATCTAAAAATAATAAATTCTAATAATAAAGTTAAAATAACGGATTTAAAATATTTTTGAGAATGAATACGCATGTAACAATAATATTAAATTCTAATATAAAATGAACTTCAGGCCCATAGTCAAGCATGGGTAGGAGGGGAACCTACCTAGGGATCTCTCCTGTTTAGGGTCTAAAATCATAATTATGTGACTAACTGCGAAGTTTAGCCTATATTATCGAGAATAACAACTTTAGTGTTGTCAAAACAAAGAAAATTTACATGTACAAATAATGGAGCTTCTTCTCCAAGCGTGATAGCTTCGCTTTCAATTTGCTTTTGGATCCAAGTCTAGAATAGACCGACTTTGACACAAAGGAACAATTACTTTTCAAGTAAGATCATACTAAATAAAGGAAAATGGTAAAAATGGGGCCATGCATTCAGTGCAATACAGGGGAGCCTAAACTATTGGAAAAAGACAGCAGAAAAAGATAGGCATAAATTATTAAAAAAATTATAAATAAATACTATTTGATATCCTCAAACTATTAAAAAATAATTACTCATAGATTTCTGTAGACCTTGATGGTAAATAATTCAACCATATGTTGTCTGTCGCATAACATCTCTTCAGATATCCCTACATACTTGAAATTATTACATACTTTAAAAAAAAGTATGAAAGATGCAAATTAATATATACAGTAGTTAAACCTCTAAACCGGGTTGGGTGCTTGTCCCGTTACTTTTAGGTGTCGTTTAGTTGGATGAAATCTCTTGGAATTGATGGGAATTAGAATCCAATTCCACCACTTTTCCATGTTTGGTTCAAGTTTTTCAAGGAAATTAGAATCCTTGATGGAATTCAATTCCATCAAATGAGAATTGAAATTTGATGGATGTAATTCAATAGGGAATTGAAATTTGACTATACTACCCTTATCAATCATTTGGTAACTTATTCATATATTGAATAAAAATATTTTTTTATTATTTCGGGTCTGGTTTCTAATTCATATATTCGTGTCGGGTCGGGTGAAACTTTATTTTGGTCGGGTCGGATCGGATTTTTTTAAGTGTGATATTCGGGTCGGGTTTGGGTTTAGGGTGAAAAAAATCGGACCGACCCGAAAATATATATAATTCAGGTCGGGTCGGATTAAGTAACTGTTTTTATTAAATAAAAATAATTTTTTATTATTTCGGGTCGGGTCTGGTCGGGTTGGATTAATGCATATATTCAGGTCGGGTCGGATGAAACTTTATTTTGTTCGGGTCGGATCGGATTTTTTTAAGTGTGATATTTGGGTCGGGTTGGGGTTTTTTAAGTGTGATATTCGGGTCGGGTCGGGTTTGGGTTTAGGGTGAAAAAACCGGACCGACCTGAAAATATATATAATTCGGGTCGGGTCGGATTAAGTCACTGTTTTTATTAAATAAAAATAATTTTTTATTATTTCGGGTCGGGTCGGGTCGGATTTCTAATTCATATATTCGGGTCGGGTTTTTTAAGTGTGATATTTGGGTCGAGTCGGGTCGGGTTTTTTTAAGTGTGATATTCGGGTCGGGTTCGAGTTTAGGGTGAAAAAAACCGGACCGACCCGAAAAAAAATATAATTTTACCTTATATATTTAAGAATAATTACAATAATACCCATCTATATATAATTTTTTTTCAATTAAGTCAATATTTTTATTGAATAAAAATAATTTTTTATTATTTTGAGTCGTGTCGGGTCGAGTTTCTAATTCATATATTGAATAAAAATAGTTTTTGGTATATTTTTTTGTAACTAATTAACATACTCCTATTAGAATGTATCGAAATATTGCTCTATCTTTTGGTAACTTATTAACATATTTTGATTGCGATGATTTCAACTTATAATGTTTATTAGCATGATTTTTATAATTTATTGAAATGAATAATCAATTAATAAAATGAAAATTTAATATTTTTTAATTTTTTATAATATATTACTACATGTAAGTTGTAAAATAAACTAAAATAAAGCAAAAAAACAAGAAGGGCAATTCTGTCATTTACATTACTAAAATCAAATTCATCTGACATGTTGCGAACAAAACAGAAAATGGAATTGGATTCCAATTCCATTTTCTGCCAACCAAACAGAATATCGAATTGGATTCCAATTCCTACAGATTCCAATTCCTTCACAGATTCCAATTCTCTCATAAACATTCCAACGGACCAAACGTCACCTTAGGGTTTTTGGATTAGACTCGCTTTATGAAATATCTCTTAGTCGGGTACTCGATTACTCGGTATCTGACTTTTTATATATTTTTTATTTTTATTTTATATTAGAGTTTTTATTCTTAAT